GGCAGGGGCAGGGCCTGGGTAAGGAAGCTCTATCCCTGCAGTGACCCCGGAGGCCCCGCCAAGTGCACAGGGAAGGGGAAGGGATCCAGGACCCCAGGCAGGGGGGGGGTGAGGGGGCTCCTGAAGGGCGGCAGCACCCTCCTTCAGCCCCCAGGGACGCCCATCCCCACCCATGTTCACCTGATGAACAGACTGTGTCCTCTCCAGCAGACCCTGTGGGGCTGGCGGTGCGGGACCCCCACGCAGTCCTCACAGCCCCAGAGCCAATGTCAGCATCTTCTTGGGGCGGGACAGGGCACCGAGGCTCCAAATGGGGCAGGGGCAGAGAGAGGAGTTCCCAGAGGAGAGGTTTGGTCATGCTTCCCCTCTCCCCTCCCTCCTCTCCCCCCCTTTCCCATGGCTAGAGCTCATATTCCTGCAATGGTGAGGGGGAGCTAGAGGAGTCTAGGGCTAGAGAAGTTGGGGACTTTAAGGCTCACAGACAAGACACCCCCCTCCAGAATTTGTCCCCAAACTCCCATCGCACTCAGACCAGTCCTTCCCCCAGCTCCGCCCAGTAACGTTTTCCTGAGGCTCGGAGGCTGCGGAAGGAAGGTGCAGCCTTTCCTTCTCTCACCATCCCGCCTTGTCTCGTCGTCTGCGGGGTGCTACAGCCCACCCTCAGTTCCCGGTCCCCAGGAGGACGTGTCCCCGCCTCACTGGCCATATAAGCAGGCTGCCAGGAGAAAGCTCCGCTCAGGGCGGTGCGGGCGGGGGGTGAGGCCGAGCCCGGGTGCACAGGTACAGCCCAGAGCTAGGAGCGGCCCCCTGCCCAGAGGGTGTCTGTGCCCCGCTGCCCCTTTCCCGCCAGCCCCGTGGCCATGGCCTCTCCCCCTCCGACCTGCCAGGCTGCCCCCCTCATCTCTGTCCCCTCTCCCACACCTCCCGCGCTGTCCCCCTCGCCCCCACTCCACTGTCCCCTCTCCCCCCTCCTCACTTCCCTCCTCCCCTTCCTCTCTCCCCCTCTCCCCCTTCCTCAGTGTCCCCTCTCCCCCTTCCTCACTGTCCCTGCTCCCCCTTCCTCACTGTCCCCTCTCCCCCTCACTGTCCCCTCTCCCCCTTCCTCTCTCCCCCTCTCCCCCTTCCTCAGTGTCCCCTCTCCCCCTTCCTCACTGTCCCTGCTCCCCCTTCCTCACTGTCCCCTCTCCCCCTTCCTCTCTCCCCCTCTCCCCCTTCCTCAGTGTCCCCTCTCCCCCTTCACTGCCCCCGCTCCCCCTCAGTGTCCCCTCTCCCCCTTCACTGTCTCCTCTCCCCCGTCACTGCCTCCTCTCCTCCTTCACTGTCCCCGCTCCCCCTTCACTGCCCCCGCTCCTCCTCAGTGTCCCCTCTCCCCCTTCACTGCCCCCGCTCCCCATTCACTGTACCCTCTCCCCCTTCCTCTCTGCCCCTCTCCCCCCTCCTCTCTGTCCCCTCTCCCCTTTCACTGTCCCTTCTCCCCATTCACTGTCCCCTCTCCCCCTCACTCTCCCCTCTCCCCCTTCACTGCCCCCTCTTCCCCTTCACTGCCCCCTCTCCCTCTTCACTGCCCCCGCTCCCCATTCACTGCCCCCTCTCCCCCTCACTGCCCCCGCTCCCCATTCACTGTGCCCACTCCCCCTCACTCTCCCCTCTTCCCCTTCCTGGCCGTCTGCTGCCCGGCCCGCCGCTGTGCCCGCCCGCACGTCCTGTCCCGCTGGCCCCCCGTGCCCCGCCGGGCTCTGCGCGCCGCCTGACGTCCCGGCACCAAGCACCCCTGTCTCCGCTCCAGGGCGGCCCTGCAGGCTCGCTCGGCCCCTCTCACCTCTCTGGTCCCTCTGCTCCCTTCTCGGGGGTTTGCCTCCGCTCTCTCCTCTCTCCATCCTGAGCGCGCTCCGCTGGGTCTCCCGGTCTGCGTCCGCCGACCCCTCCGGCGGCCCCCTCCCTCCCTCCCTCCCTCCCTCCCTCCCGCCTTCCCCCACCCCGCCTCCCTCGGGCTGGGCCCGGGTGGGGTAGGGGCGGCGGGGCGGGGCGGGGCGGCCGGCGGGGCGGGGCGGTGACGCGGGGCGGCCGTGCTAGAGGCGCGGCGGCGCGGGCGGGGGCGCAGTCCCGGGTCCGACCGGCCGAGCCCCGCAAGCCCCGCCCGCGCCCTGCACCTCCGCCCGGCGGCCGGCGGGGGAGGGGATGCGCCGGCGCCCGCGCGCCGCCCGGAGCTGCGGGCCGGCCTAGAGCCGCGCGGGCCCCGCGCCCGAGCACACGCCGCCGAACTGCGGGCGCCGCGATGCAGCGGCCCGGGGAGCCGGGCGCCGCGCGCTTCGGGCCGCCCGCGGGCTGCGCCGACCACAGGCCGCACCGCTACCGCAGCTTCATGATCGAGGAGATCCTCACCGAGCCGCCGGGGCCCAAGGGCGCCGCTCCCGCCGCCGCCGCCGCCGCCGCGGGCGAGCTGCTCAAGTTCGGGGTGCAGGCGCTGCTGGCCGCGCGGCCCTTCCACAGCCACCTGGGTACGTGGGCCGCGGGGGCGGCTGCCGTCGTGCGGACGCGGCGCCCGGCTCGTGGGCCCCGGCGTCCCCTCGCCCCGGCCGGCGGGGAAGAGGAGGGCAAGCCCGGGCTCGGGAGCCAGGCCTCGTGCCCGCGGGTCGGGTCCGCGGGGAGGGTGCTAGCTTCTCCTTCCCTGATGACCCGCGGGCTCTAGCCCGGGGTCCGAGCCTATATTCTCATCGCGGGCGAAGGTCCTACACTGACCTCAGGCTGCGGGTCAGCGCGACCTCAGGCCACGGTGCTGGGCCTTCGCCGCAGGAGCTGGCCCGGAGCGGCCAGGACCGCCCAGCGGGGACGCCGGACCTCGGGGAGAGGCCTGCGACCCCCAGTGCTGAGCGGGGAGCTGCCCGGGCCCTAGCCGCCCTGAGCCTCGGGAGCCCCGGGGCAGGCCCTCCGGCCTGGCTGCAGCTCCCACACCCTGGCCTCGCCCGGGGACAAGGGGCTGACTGTGAGCCCGCCAGCCCTCCTGGCCTCTGCTTCCAGGTCCGCGGGGCCGTCTCCCGGCGCTGGAGCTGCCACTGGCCCTCTCTGCCTTTGGCTTCTTTTTCTTCCGTGGCCGGGCCAAAGTCGGGCTTGTCCTCGCCATCGCACCCCTGTTCTTCTGGTCTCCCCCAGTTCTCTTTGCCCTACTTTGGCCGCTCTTGGCCTTTCTCATAGGGTGGGCCTGTCCTCCTTTTCTCTCACCTTCCCCCCAAGTATCTTGCCTCCCTGGGGCCCCCTACTCACACTCACTCCAACCTCGCTGACCTCATGGGCGCACCTGCCCTTACTGAGGTGCCCGTGGGCAGGGAGGCCTGCACAGTGGGCCCCGGTCCCCCCCAGCCATCTTCCTGGCCCTGTGGCCCGCGCTCCGCCCTCACGCCGGGCGCCTCAGCCAGTTTGTTCGTTTTGAGTCCAACTTTGATGCAGACTCAACGCTGAGTATTGCTCTGGCTGCACTGCGGTTCATAATTCGTTTGAAGCGGGCAAAAAAAAAATCATTTACGGCTGATGACAATGGAAACGTCGTCACGGGGTCCAGTCTACACAGAGAACAGGAAGACCAGTTTCAGGATTTGTGGGGTGTTTTGAAATCTTCGGAAAGTGTTCAAACCAACCCCTGCGCAGACCCCTGCCTACTGCCTGGCCGCTGTGCCCACGGAGGGGGGATCTGTCCGCTCCGTCCTGTCCTGTTCTTTCCCAAAGCAGAATGCGGATTTGGTTGCGCAAAGTTCATCTTCCTATGTCGCTACTTCCTTTTCTTCTTGGTTTCCCTTTTCCGTGAAACGCACTGTGCGCCTCTGAGCTTCAACCCTTTTCATTGAGAACCCCGAAATCTCAAAGGGGGCATAGGCCAGAGGAGCGCCAGGGCAGCGCTCGCTCGGGCGGGGAGATCCCTGTTCCCAGACAGGGGGACACTGGCTCAGGGGCGGGTCACCCCCGGCGGAGCTTAATCTCTCCCTCCTCGGCCGGCGGAGGGTTTGTGCGGTGGCACGGCCTGGGCCAGTCCTCTGTGAAAGCGGGATGCTCAGGGGCGGCTCCCAGAGGAGTGGAGCCTAAGCTCACGAGGCTCCCATTCTCCCCGCAGCCGTGCTGAAGGCCGAGCAGGCGGCGGTGTTTAAGTTCCCGCTGGCGCCTCTCGGCTGCTCCGGGCTGGGCTCCGCGCTGCTGGCTGCGGGGCCCGCGCTGCCCGGCGTGGCGGGCTCGCCGCACCTGCCCCTGGAGCTGCAGCTCCGCGGGAAGCTGGAGGCGCCGGGCGGCGGGGAGCCGGGCGCCAAGGCCAAGAAGGGGCGCCGGAGCCGCACAGTGTTCACGGAGCTGCAGCTGATGGGCCTCGAGAAGCGCTTCGAGAAGCAGAAGTACCTCTCCACCCCGGACAGGTAGCGCCCGGGCCCAGCCCGGCGGGCGGGGAGGGGGCCTGCGCGCCTGCTGAGGGGGCACCCGCTCTTTCCAGAATAGACCTCGCCGAGTCCCTGGGCCTGAGTCAGTTGCAGGTGAAGACCTGGTACCAGAATCGGAGGATGAAGTGGAAGAAAATAGTGAGTGTGGGAGCTACCCCCTCCCCCCCATGCCCTCCGCGCCTGGTGCCCAGAGGGACCCTCTCTGCTCCCCGGTGCCCTCGCCTGTCTTCGTGCCCCGCTGCACCCTCGGGCTTCCCGGCAGCCGCTAGCCTCTGGCCGCGGTTCCGGGGACGCGCTGCTGCCCGGGGCGGGCGGGGGCTCACCGGCGGCTCCCGCAGGTGCTGCAGGGCGGCGGCCTGGAGTCCCCCACCAAGCCCAAGGGGCGGCCCAAGAAGAACTCCATCCCCACCAGCGAGCAGCTCAGCGAGCAGGAGCGCGCCAAGGAAGCCGAGAAGCCGGAGAAGCCGGCCGAGGCGCCGGGCGAGGCCAGCGACCAGGGCCGCGAGGACTGAGCGTGCGGCCGGGGACCCCCGCCCTGCGGCCCCGAGCCCGCGAGCAGCCCGAGCCGGTCCTCCGCCTCCGCGCCGCGGGCTTCCCTAACGGTCATCGGTACCTTGGATGCGGGCCGGCGAGGAGGGACGCGGACCCCGAAGCCAAGCCGGGCCCCGGCCCCCGGCCTCCCGGAGACTCACCGGCAGTGGCCTCTGCGCGGAGCCCGCGCACGCCCGCTCCCCCGCATCCCGCCTGGGGCGCCCAGGCCCCGCCGGTTCCCGCGTCAGGGCGGCGAGGCCCGCGGACGTCCCGGCGGCTCGGCCTGAAGCCGGTCCCTGGCGTCGCGGGGCCCCTACCCTTCTCTTGCGAAAACGGTGATTTTTTTCCCAATAAAATATTTTATGACACAGCGGAGCTCATGAGGGGCTTCTGAGGCGGCGCGGGGAGGGCGGCGAGGTAAGGGGCTCCGGTGGCTTTGGAAGCCCTTGCTCCGAGCGGGACCTCCGCCGCGGCCACGCGGGGCTGGCAGGGCGCAGGGCCTCGGATCGCCACCCGGCGGCGGCGGGCCGGTCCGAGCTGCCCGCCCTGGGCGAGCGGCTGCGGCCGGGCCAGGGGGTCAGTCCGAGGGGCCCGAGCCCCAGGCCGCGCGGGGCTCACATCCGTCCGAGGTGTCCGGGGACTGACAGCCGCTGGGGGGGGTGGGGCAATTCGGTTTCCTGGGGCTGGAAGGCCCTCCTGTGACGGCCCAGGCCTTGGGGTCCGCGCCGAGGCCGCCTCCAGCCGCAGCTCCCTCCCACCGGAGGCGCCTGTGGCCAGCGGCCAGCGGCCAGCCCCAGCCCCAGCTCCGGCCCGGCCCCAGCGCCGCGCTCTCCCCGGGGCTGCGCAGGCGGCGGCGCCGGGCAGGAGCCGGGGACCCAGAGAGGCCCCCTCGGGCTGAGGGTTTCGAGCTGTGGCCTCGGGCTGGGCACCCTGAAGGGGCACAGCCAGGGAGTGCGTGCCCGCGGGCGCCCGCTCCTCCAGGGAAGGCTTCCGCTGCCTTCTCCCGGCCTAGCCGGGCTGGGTATGGCGTGTGGGTGCTGATCCTTGCTCTGCCCGCCCCCGGGCCCCGCCACGGCCACGGCCACGGTATGGGGTCGGGGAACTGGACCGGCCACTTTGCTGAATGAAGCTGGGGGAGAGACCAAGCGAGCCGGCCCTGCAGAGCGCCCTAAGCCGGCTCCGGATCCGCAGCCAGTCCCTGCAGGGCTGGGACGCCGAGCTCAGGGGCAGGCCTGCGCTAAAAAGGCCGAGAACCGCCACGATGGCCCCCACCCTAGTGGCCAGGACTTCCTTTTCAAATCGAGGCTTGACCTGCCCTTCCTGCTTGCACTTGCATTTATGGTGGGAGGAGGGAAAGCCAGGGCGCTTCCTGCTACCCCAGCCCCCTCAGTGAGGGACCCTCTGTGCTCCGGACCCTTCCAGGCAGCCACTGCACTCCTCCGCTCACTGCAAAGAGGGAGGGAAAGGCCTGGAAGTTCTGGCCGGGCTGGGGCTGGGGCTGGGGCTGGGCTGGGGGGCGAGGTTCCAGCCTCAGCCTTTGTCACCACAGGGTTGTAGAAGGAAGAGGGTCAGAGAGGAGGGGTTCTGACCTATTCTCCACTGTCTGTTCCAGGGCTGCAGGTTTTACTAACCGGAGCACCATGGTCTTAGGCAGGTCACCCTGTGGTTCTAGGCATTTTCCCAAAGCAGCCCCCTCCCTGGGCTGGACTAATGGGCCACCAAGCACCAGGCTTTGAGTGTGTGTGAGTGTGTGTGTGTATATGTGTCCAGCGAATCCTGCACCAAAGCATAGGGCGCCAATAGTCCATGGAGCACAGCCACCGGTGGAAAGCCTGAGCTGGGCTCCAGCCGAGGATGTCTAGGTGCTGATGCCCGCGGGTGGGGGAGGTTTCTGTCCCCGCCTAGACCTCTGCTTTCCTTGGGCACAGGGGACGGGTGACCTCGGCAGACCCAGCCCTCTAGGTGAGAAGACCAGCCAGGCACCGGCTGGTCCAGGCAGCTCGGGGCTTCCTTGCTGGTGACTCCAGGAGGCGTGATGGACGCTCCAGCCTGCTCCCCGAGAGAATGAAGCCCTGGAGGCCAATGATGTGGACTGCAGCCGCACAACCCCAATTCCAGTACAGGGCCGCTCCCATCCGCCGGGTGACAATCTGGGCCCCCCCTGAGTGCCACCCGCCTCTGGCCACCCAGAAGCCTACCCCTCAGTCTGCGCCCAGGCGTAAGTGGAGAAGGTCCTCTGCCCTCTTGCCCTCTCCCCTTCCACAGCACACACCCCTTCTACCCAGGGTCCTGGGAAATGAAGCCCAGACATGGCACAAGCTCCCCAACACCAAGGAGGTGGCTGCTTCCCCAGCCCAGGGTGGGGGGGTGGGGAGTGGGGGCTAAAGAGGAAGCTGGCCTGGGCGTCTTGAGTAAGTCTTAACCTGGAGGGGGGGGGGAGTGGAGGGAGTGTGAGCGGGGTATGTTGGGGTAGGGTGGGGTGGGGGGAGGCGGCCAGGACTTCCCAGCCCCGTGATGGCTGAGCACCCGGATTAGCTCGGCAGCAGTACCCCAAACTCGCTGGAAGTTTACACTTCTGTGCTTGGCCGATGTGTGTGGAGTGTGTGTGTGTGGGGTGAGCCTTAGGGCAGGTTTTGGGGGAGGGTTGACTGAAGGGTCTGGATGGGGCATTTCATCCCCAGCCTCTGCCTCCGACCTGACCAAGTCGATGGGAGTTGGAACCCAGCTCAGGCGCCTTCAGCCTGGACGCACACACGAGGGAAGGTTTGAGGAGAGGCAGCCTGCGGGGTCGAAGACCTCCTCACAGTCTCTGCTTTGTGGCCGGTTCTGCACAGAGAGGCACCGCCAGGCGGTGACAAGGGAAGCCAGAGCATCGTCCCATTCTCTCCCAGCCGCCCTATTTTGTAAAAAATAAAGGTTGCTCTGGGTTACTCCTCCCGCTGCGGGAGCCCATAAGGTGGAGGAAAGAAGCAGGGCCAGGAGGCCTTACAGCGCCTCTTGGGCCTCCAGGTGCCGAGCGGAAACCTGGCAGCCTTCCGCTTTCCGTTGCCCTGCTGCCTGATTCCCCTTCTCACTCCAGGGGAATGCCTGGCCCTAAAGTGACATCGCTGATTCCACCTGGCGTTCCCTTGTCCAGAGGGGACCCTTTGACACCCAGAGCCTCCTCCCTCAAGACCTCTCAGGCCCAGGTTTCCAGGGGCCAACGCCAGGCTCTGGGGGACCACAGACACCCCGCCCGCCAGCTCAGCCTGGCCCCCACTCCAGGAGCCCAGGGAGACTTCTCAGACCACCCCCTCAGCTCCACTTGAAGGCAGAAAGGGAGCTGCAGGTCCTCACTCCCCGCTGGTGGGGGGGGCAGCGAGGTGACTGCAGCCGGGCCAGGGGAGGGCTATAGCAGCCTGGCTCCGGTCCCTGGGCCACTCCACACGCACAGAGCAGGTGAAGCTGAGTCCACTTTCTGTTCGAAGTAAGGCCTCAGGAGGCCCCTGACCTGCAGGACTTTCCCTGCTGACTCCTCTCTCACTTCATAACAGGTCTCTCACCTGCGTGACTTCAAAAGTTCCTTTTGTCCCAGTTCTCACACTATATTACTGAGTATCATAACATTTTCCCATTTCTCAAATCTGGGTTCCTATGCCACTGGTGATACAGTGACCAAGAGGGTGGGGCTGTAAGATGCCGAAGGGGATCCATTCAGCTCTGATCTCAAAGAAGTTTTAGGAACACCTTCACCCACTGATTTCCCTGAAAGTCTCCCTTTATGTAAACTCAGCAGTGATGTGTGATAAAAAATCTCTTTTTAAAAAATATGTATTTATTGATTTCAAAGAGAGGGAAGAAAAGGGAGAGAAAGAGAGAAAGAGAGAAAGAGAGAGAGAGAGAGAGAGAGAGAGAGAGAGAGAGAGAGAGAGAAACATTAATGAAACAGAAACATCTACCAGCTGCCTCCTGCAGGCCCCCTATTGGGGATCAAGCCCACAACCTGAGCTTGTGCCCTGACCTGGAACCGAACCAGTGACCTCCTGGTGCATGGGAGGACACATAACCAACTGAGCCACACAGGCCAGGCAAAAATCTTTGTATTCGTAGGCCAAAATGAAATATTCGAGTAAGTATAAGATTAAAATTCTGGGCAATACATAAGCAATGGGTCAGACTTGCATTGGCAATGGTTTAAAAATTTTCTTTGTGCTTCAGGAAATAATGGTATCTGACATCAGTGACATCACAGACACTGCCACACATCACAGTGACATCAATCACACACTCCTGGGGCCGTTCATTCCTTTGACAAACAGTTACTGAGAGTGAGTTCACAGAGCTGGGACACAGGCCCTTTCCCCCTCTCCCGACTCCTTGATCCAGTAATAGCCAGTAAATTAGGTGCCTACTCCCACTTCCCAGACGGAAATAAAACTCAGAAATGTTAGGCAACCTGCCTAGGAACACACAGCTATTGACAGCAGAATTTGGGTCTGACTTCGGCTCCATTGGTGTCCACTGTCTCTTACCCAGCAGCCTGGAGGTTCGGCTTGGGGTGTCCCAGATGCCTCAGAGCCCCCAATGGCCTCTGTCTGCCTGGAACCCATTTGCTCACCAAGGACTTGTTGGTGTGTGCCAGGCACTGTGCTGGGCACGGGGGACACAGCTCTGACCTAAGGAGCTCACACTGGAGGTGAGGAGGCTTGGATAGATGGCAAAGAAGCCACAGTTAAATTCAAAAGATGGTTTTAGGAAGTGACAAATGCCATGGAGAAAATACAGCGGGTGGAAGAAAATGAGTGAGCGAGGGCTTTAGTCAGGATGGACAGGAAGGGCCTCTCAGGAGCTGCCTCTTCACTGAGACACGGATGACAAGAGGAGTAGCGCCAGGTCCCTGGAAAGCACTTGCAGTGACTCCTGTTCAGTTAGTTAGGAGCGTGGCTTTAAAGGCCTGGGAGGAAGGTCAGAGGAGAGGGACCAAGTGTGGAGAGAGGGTTAAGGTCATGGGTGACGCGGTGAGGAGGTGGACCTAGGCATTGCCCAGAAGGCAGTGGGCAGGAGGCTGTCCCCTGGAGCTAGCCCCAGGCAGACACCTCCACCAGCCTAGCCCCTCTGCACTCGGTGTGCACACAGCCAGAGCCCTGGCAGCTCCACCTCCCACAGGCAATTTGCCTCCCCGCTCCCCCTTTTCATAAGGATGCAATTTTCTGCGTGCTTTAAGGACATTAGAAGGGCATTTGACTGACGGGCCATGCGAAACACATTAGCAGCGAGGCCCAGGACCCTGGAGGGGGTGCCTGCTAGGGAAGGGGCAGGTGGAGGTGGAGCAGACCCTGGGGATAGTGGGGCTGGGGCTGTTCCTAGGCTGGGGGTTAGAGAGACA